TGTGTTAAATTTGACAGTATTTGACACCCCATGCCACCCATCTAGATCTGCCCCTGTAACCAGGACACATTTAGTATCCTTTGAGTAGTTAGACAAATGATAGTCACATCCTATTTTCTTTCTTAAACAATTAAATCAAAATGTGCGTCATACGTTACATCCTGACCTGGTGCCTTTTCCTCTATATTTTGCTGAGCCTCAAAAGCAGTTGCTACTGGCCTACAAGTCTTGAGTCTCCCTAGTTCGGCTGACTATGGATTCAAAATGCAAAACAAGAAAATTGTCGGAAGAAAAAATGTAAGTGTGTGGTCAGATTTGTTTGCTTTCACTACCAGTGTTACTTGCTTACAGCTGACTTGATCTGCAGCGAGACATTGGCATTATAAGGCTGAGATATGTTTTGCAGCTCCAGACAGATTTTTATTTTTAATTTTTGATAGTAAAGGTTGCTGAGCCCTGAGTTAAGCAAATAATAGAACAGAAAAAAACTGACTCACCTGTTACAAATACCACAGTGGTGGGTTCTTGCTGGTTTGGGCATGATGCACTTTTTGCAGACTGCCACAAATGGACTGTCATTTTTTTCCTGATTGAAAGAAGACATTTTTGTTGCATTACTAAATAAGTAAGTTTAATTCCAGGTGAATAAAGAATATTTGTGGTGCAGCAGAAAAGTGTAGCTGATGTCTTACTGTAGGGGGGTACCCGGGGGACGTCTTGGTGGCCTTGTAGTAGTGGAAAGCAATCATGACGAGGTTCCAATGTCCATAGCAAACATGCCAAGCAATCCACACAGGGGAGTATGTGTTGAGGATCAGAGGCAGTAGGACCATGTAGGCAATCCCCACAATAGAGCTGGTCAGTATCACCACCAGGCACACAAACACCTGTCACACAAAGAAAGAAAACACAACATTAGAGAGCTTTCATCACAGAAAAACTACCTGTAACTAATCATCCTCACCACAACACACACTCACCGTGCCAAACCAACGGGTGACATAATCCACAGTCCAAAACACAGGTTCAAAGACTGAGTCGAAAACCACATCCGAGTCTGTGAGGGAGTTAAAGTAAAGTGACTGCACAAGCAAGCTCATGTAAGCCCATAGTTCCCTAATCCACAAAGGCAGTCTGCTCTTTCCTCTCCTGGTACACGAGCGTAACCGCAGACAGCGCAGCAGGTGGAGCGTTGAGGTGGGACAGCACCGCATCCTGCATCTGTAGTGTGCACGCACCTTTGAGGAAAATAAAGAAACAATAAACAATAGCAGCTTTATGGCAAGTTGAAGCAAAAACACGTGGCCCTGTTTTGACAGGTTGTAACACTGCATGTATGACACACTAATCTACAACAAAAAGGACATGCAAAGTAAGTTTTTACTTACAATCCTGTGCACCGCTGCAATGAACAATTATTTTCATTACTGCAAAATCTGCTTAATGTTTTCTCGATCAATAAATGAACTGTTTGGTCTATAAAATGTAGAAAAATAGTCAAAAATGCATTGCAACTTCCTTCTTGTCTGACCAAGAATCCAAAACTCAAAGATATTCAGATTACTATCAGCTAAGACAGAGAAAAGCACAAATGGGAGACTGCAAGCACACAAGGTTTGGTATTTTAGCTTGAAAACAGACTAAAAACAGCCGAGTAACGTTATCATATTGATTTTCTTGTCTATCAACCAATTGTTTCAGTCCAATATCAAACTTACCCAACGCTGAATTTGGAAGCCAACCAACCTGGATGGTTTTTTGGGGGGGAAATAGTTAATACAACTCACACCAGCTGACACTTTAACTTCATCAGGTGCCGCTATAATTTAAAGGTGTAGATATATATAAAAAAAAAAAAAAGCAGTCCGCTAGTGAATCAACAGAGTAACCAAACGAGAGTGGTAAGAGGGTTTGTTGCTCGAAGTCAAATGCCAAAAGCAAACCCTTGCTACTCTGCATTCCTGACAGGGTGGAGTCTCTGGGTGCAGGTTTTTGCGGTCACACCTGAGATGATGAGAGGGGGTCAAGTGGTCTGGAGTGGAGCTGCATGATGACCTGATATTATTATTAGTCCTATCCAAAAAGACCTGTTATTAAAAAGGCTAGTTAGCTAAGCTGTCGCCTGATAAAAAGCCATAATAGTTACATTGTGCACAGTGCACCTTCCTGTGGACAGTCTCACACAATCCCAACGCTCCCGAAATCCCTTTTGTTTGGGTGTCTCACTGTTTTCCTATTCATAAATCCGACGCCGTGCGCTGCGTTCTTATATTTAATAACGACTCATTTTAGGGAATACTTACTGTTCTATGAAGGACAGAAAACTACCGCAATCATTCCTCCCGTCGACATTTTCAAAAGGAAGGAGAGAGAAAAAAACAAACAACGGGATTATTGGCACATATTAGTGGAGAAGAGCAGGATCAGGGACCTTCAGTTAACAGATCTGAATCCCGATCCGGAGTTAGTGCGCAGGCGCCAGACTGGCGGCGAAAGGCATCATGGTAGTGTGAGTCCGGAATTATAGCAGCATTTCATACGTGGTTGTTTTTCTTCCAGAAATTCACATTAATGTGCTTAAAGTTCCTATAATATATCCCTCTAAAACATTAGCTCACTTAAACGGACGTGTAACGGGTTGTTTTTTTTTACGGGTTAAGGTTTAAACCTGTAGTTCGGCCGCTGTAGTTCTCAGAAATCTGGGATTTGTAGTTCTCATGCGCAGAAGCTACACTTGCACGCCATGTGCAGCTCCGTGCTGTTAGTGTAGTGCGGGGTAAACCAAACTTTCTCACCTCATGGTAACGTTAGCCGTCAGTCACCATGTCGTTTTGTTTTAACTTCGACGTCCCGGCAGAGACAACAAACAGCGCGGATGGAAACGAGCTGCGAAACAGAGAGAAACAAAGTGCTGCGAAATCTGTGAGTAACGTCAGCTAACTCATAATGTGTCCCAGGGGGAGTTAACTTAACGTACTCACAGCTGGCAGGTAAATTAGTGATGTCAGATTGTAGTTTACTCTGACAGGGATTATGCCAGTCGACCATGATTTTATTAAATAAACAATATCTGCATGCAGTGGCGTGTGTGATTTTTTGAGTGCCAGGGGGGCATTGAGAAGGAGGACCCTCAGTAAGGAGCAAGGTTGTTACACCTGTCTTTGGTTTGGTAACACCCCTATTACTGTACAACATCAACATTGCATTCACATTTATAGCAACGTCCTTTGCCCTCCACATTACTGCTGATGGCCATACCTGATACAGATGTTAGGAATCTGTGCCATGGTGCAATTCAGTCTATTTCTCTTCTTATTCCAGATGTGAGAGCTGAACTGCCGCTCACCGTCTGTGCTGCTGCAGGGAACACTTTGGTATTAGCGTGTAATTTGTGCCATTTCTGGAAAAAACAGAGGTGAAAATAACCAACATTTAGCCAGCGCAATATAGACAAATATGGGGCACTGATATTATGAATGTCATATTATTTGCCAATAGTCCAGTGTCAGCCAACAATATCGTCTGATACCGATGTTACATACATTCACTAAAGCCAAGGGAGTAAAACTATACATCAAAATTGTAAAATAAAAAGATATTGACTCAAGGTCCACTTACTATAGCACTTTATGGCCTTCATCACATTTATATACACATAAATACTTGAATTTCCCTCGGG